TAGTCTAAGAAAGTAGGTTCTTAGTAATATAGTTACTATCTTTAGTGTTTCTATATTTAAGTCTAGTTCTTGTTGTCTTTATTCTTTACTATCTTCTATAATAGTAAGTAGCTTTCCCTAATTAAGAGAAAAGAAGGCTAGTATATAGAATTCTTAGTTTTATCTTTTATACTACTAGTAGATAGTACTAATTCTTACTTTCTTTATTTTTTATTTAGTTAAGTCTTTTTTAAGGTTAAATATATACTTATATATCTAATTAGGTTAGTTTTATTTTTTTTCTAGTTTAGTTAGTTCTTATTATTCTTATATTAGTTTTTATTATTTAGTTATTATTTTATTATAAAAAAAGGTTACTACTATATTAGTTATAAGAAGATTAGTAGTTTAATTTTACTATAAGGCACTATTAAAACTAAGTAGGATATTAATATATAAGGCAGTAGGATAACTAGTATATATATAACTAATCTAAATAACCTTGCCTAAAGGTCTTATTACTAGTGTACTCTAAGTGCCTATAAACACAAAGGTAACTTACTAACCCCTATCTAAGAAGATAATAACATTAATTAATAGACCTTAGTCTAATTAGGGCTATAATTTATTAATTAAACGTCTATCTCTAGTTAGTAGTTAAACTTAGTTAGTAATACTATTATTACTAAGTAGTATAGAACTATATATAAAAGGTCTTATTATTTAGTTATATAGTTATAAGGTAGGTAAAGTACTTAATTAAGCTAAAAAGGCCTAATTAAGTATATAAAATTAAAAGAATATTTAAGATTAGTTATATTACTATTATAATAAAGTTATAGTTAAAGGTAAAGGTTAACTTATAAGTGTTAAATTCTATGTCTTGTTTATTTTGTTAATATTAATTAGTATTTAATGTCCTAATTAGGATAATTAAGGCTCTGCTAGCTAGAAAAACACTTATAAAAACTACTTAAAGAAAAACCTAAAATCCTACCCTATTCTACTAGCTAAGTAAAGATCTAGTTTAGTAGTAGTAACACTATTTACTTAAAGGGCACTATTATAGTTAGTATACTATTTAGGCCTATTACCTTTTATATAATACCTATAAATATACTCTTTTTACTTTACCTAGTAGATATAAATTAATTACTTATTTACTTTAATAACCTTATAAATACCCTTTAATAAAGTAATATTATAATACTAGTTATATAAAAATAAGGGCATCTATAAATACTCCTTAGCCTACCTAAATATAGCTTTACTAGTTACTACTTAACTAACATAAAGTTATAATAACTTTACTAATAATTTAGGCACTTATTAGTCTACTGTCTTTATAAGGTTCTTTATAAGGCTAGTTATAAGGTTAAAGTTAAGGCTATTAAGTACTTAACTAAATACTACTATTACTACTAGCTTTATAAGAAGGCACCTTTATAATTTAAATTTACCTTATATAATAACTACTCTTTTAACTATAAGGTTATTATTAATATTATATACCTTAAAGATAACTAACTAGTTCTTTATATTATTAATACTATAACTACTTTTAATATAGTATACTTTCTTTATAATATTTTTATAAAGACTATATAAGAGGCACTTTATTACTACTAGATTAATATTTACTAAAGACCTTTAGACTAAATTATTACTAACGTAGGTAAAAACTTTACTATAACTAAATTTTTATATAAAGCCTATATAATAGGTATTAAAGTTAAGATTATCTTTATTAAGGTACACTATAGTATTAAAAAGGTTAAATAATACTATATAGTGCTCTAATAGGCCTATAAAATTATATATAAAAAGTACCTAACTACTAACTAAGAATTTATCCTTTAGAGTATAGTTAAGGTAGTTAATAACACTATAGGCCTTAATAGCCTTATACTAACCCTCTTAGTATTTAGTACTTACCTTTATATAACTACTAACTTTACTCTTTTACTTAATATTATTTAATAGGTAACTACTATCTAAAAGGCTACTAATAACCTCTATAAGAGCTATATAATATACTAAGTCTATAAGGCACTTAAGGTATATAATAGCCTAAATACCTTTACTATTAAAGACCTACTATTAGGCAGTAAAGTATAAGTATAGTATAAGAAAAGTAAATAGTTTAGCCTATACTACCTACTATTTATTAATAATAAAGATTATACTATTAATATTAATAGCCTATATAACTTTTATTTTATCTTAGTTAAACCTTACTACACTAAGAAAGAAGTAAATAAGCCTATTAATATAAATCTTTAACTTAACTAACCTATAGATACTAACTATACTAGTAAATATATAAAGAATACTATTATTATTACTATAAGGACAAGAAAACCTATCTAAATAGTAGCCTCTTCTTCTCTATAGTGTACCTATAAGTAACTATATAAGACCTTAGTTAATATACTACTATAGAAAATAGATAAGCCCTTTAGTACCTTCCTTTTAGCTAAAGAAAAGGCTAACCTAGTACTTATATAATAACTATATAACTAAGGTATTATTACTATACCTAGTAAGCCTTTTAAATAGTTAAGAAAAAGTAAAATCTAAGGCCTTATTAACTATAGTATATTTAAGATTATTATATATAATCTTTTTATTTACTAAGGCTATATCTTTAAATCTTACCTTATTAATAAAGTTAAAGGTAAAAATAATAAGCTATATAAGAAATTATAACTTATAGTATAAAGTTATAGTAATAATAGTAAAGAAACTTTACTAGTTTAGTTACTTATAATTTAAAGAGCTAGCTAGTATATAATTCTTATACTTACTTTTTCTCTTATAGCTAATAATAAGGTAATATAGCTATAAGATATAATATAGGCCTATATATAGTTAACTTTATAACTTAACTATACTATCTATATATAATTTTCTTTATAGATCTATAATTATTACCTTTAAGGTACTATAATAAAGGTAGTAAAGCTATTATATAGCCTTACTAAAGTAAGTATTTATTAGTAAGTAACTTATAACTACTACTACTATAAAAAACTTAATATAGTTACTACTTTATATAACTTATACTTACTTCTTTTATTTATAAAAAACCTTAACTTTATAATAATTAAGATATAGATAAATAATATAATTAGCTTAACTAGTGTTAATTTCTTTAACTATAAAGATAATAAGCTTACTAAAGTAAAGCTCCTTATAAAATAAAAAATATTACTTATAAAGAATAAACCTTTAGTATTTAATAAAGGAATTATCTTATTAACTTTAGCTAAAAACACCTCTATTATACTTTACTAGAAGGGCTAAGGCATAAAGCTAAGACTTATTAATAAGAAATTACCTATAGCCTAGTAAAACTATATCTAGTAGTATACTTAAAGTATATATATTACTTTTATTTATTAGCCTAAAGTATACTTTAACTTATCTACTATAGCCTAGTATAAGAAGCTAGATAATAAAGCTATTTAATAACTTAACTAAAGAATCTAGTAGTAAATAAATATACTTAACTATAGCTTTACTTTTATTTTTTTAACTTACTTAATATAAAGCTTTTTATATTTATTAATAGATCTTTTATTAATAATTATAACTTAACTTTATAGTTAAGATTTATTATCTTTTTTACTAATAAAGAGGTTAATAATAAGTAAAGTAAGTTTACTTTTTATAATAATATCTTTTATTTTTTATTAACTAAATCTAAATAAGTAATATAAAGTATTCTTATATTAAAAGTCTATAGTATAGTTATAGGTATTAATATAGTATATACTTTTTTTATAACTATTATAATAGTAATAAATAAGCTTAGTAACTTATTAATTTTTACTATTACTTATACTAACTTATACTTACTATATAAGTATTTAGTAAAGTTAAGTATTACTTATAAAAAGCACTTAATAATTAATATTATAGTACTATAATAATTATATAAGTAATATAAGCTTTTTAAGGTATAATAAATCTATAGTAATAATAACTTTACTAATAAGTTTATAAAGTCCTCTTTAAACTAAGCACTTAAGAGTCTTATTTTTTATAATAAAGTAAAAATATAGATAAAAAGATAAGTTATATAAATATAATAAAAAATAATAAAAATAATAAAATATAGAATAATAAGTACTTAAAAAAAATAAGTTATATAAACTATATAAATTAATAGTAGTTAAATTTATTTAATATAAGTATATATCTTTAATAACTATAGCTAAAAAGAAATATACTTAAATAAGATAATATAAGCTTATCTTTACTAAGTAAATAAATAAATAAATTTATAGTAGTATATAACTATAAAAAGTATAATACTTTTACTTTTCTTATTTTATTATATTTTTAGGCTTTTTAAGAGAAATAAGAGCACTAGTGACTTTTACTATATAAGAAAGTTACTAGTGTTAGTATATAGGTAATATAGCTAGAGGCAGTAGGTTATATAATATACTACCTACTAGTAGAATCCTTTACCTTTGCCTATACGCAAGGGTACTACTACACTTGTGCTCCTACTTTACCTTATTAACTAGTTAATAATTAATAACTATAAATTTAACTACCTTTTCTTAACCTTTGTAATATCACAAGATACAGGATCCTATTAATTAACTAAGTAAAAAACCAACAGAAACTTAAGAATGCTAGTCTATTCTTTGGTGACCAAGTACTATACCCACGATACCAGAGTAGCTGAAAAGTAACTAAATGCCAGAGTGTCAATACTGTCGCGATTCGAATACGTCGCTTTCCTCAAATATTGAATCAGTCTCGATACAAGATTTAACAACGGTCGCCAAGGCTTTAGAGCATAGTTTCTCGTTAGGGGGGACAATGTATGTGCAGGCAAAGACTCACTAATGATTGTGCGGCCTGTGACTTGACCGGCACACGCCACAATCTTCCGCGCCGCCCTGGTGGCCAACATCTGCAACCGCTGATCTACCCGCGTGTACAGCACACTAGCAACATAAAAGGACTAGGCCTTCCCCCACTGCGTACCTAACAGTTCCATCCTTCAATTACCTCAATAAGTACAGAGTATTTAGGCTATCTGATTGCTGTTCATCCACAACACAGCATCTGCATCACAAATGCGGTCGCCCTAGTCACTGGCACCTGGAATACTTCTTAAATGGTGCTATCTCTGCTATGGCTTCCTCTCCGGATCAGCAGGCGGGACTGGACGGGAAGAGTCGGGAGGGAATGATTGCCGAATCCATCAAAAAGAACGAAGAGATTCAGAGATTATATCCTCACGTCGATTTCAAGGAGGATGTCATAGAGCCCACGATTAACTTAGCGTTCGATATACAGGTAAACTCATCCCAGATCTCGCTACCTGGCGTACGACTGCATGCCTGACGGCCATTGCCGCGCCGCATCCGGTTCTAACTTGCGCACAGGAACACGTCGACGAGGCCAACCAGAGAAGATACAACACCCTCATCGACGAGATGCTCGAGCGCACTGCTGAGCCAGATCTGGCGGAGAGACTCCTATGGGAAGCAAGAGAGTGTCTTACCGGTTACCCAAGCATCCTGACTCAATTCGATGCCATCTTTATTGGTCAGCGATCGGCTTCGAACGTGATTCGGGAACTGCACGAGTGCATGATGATGAAGAAGGGGGCGGAAAGAAGGATGAGCCAGCAAGTCGAGGGGGGCCAAAACGGAAATGGGCAATGAGACTTGCTGAGTCAGACTGTTGGATCGCTGAAGACCTGGTTCGGTGTGACTATTGTGGAGGGGTTTTATTTTGCACGGCATGGATTTCCCGGCCTCACTGCCGATTCAGGTAGTTCTTGGGCTCATTGCTCAAAATGATTACTCGCGATTGAGGATGCGAAGTTTGTGTTTCTTGATCCCCAGAGCCAAGCAGGCGTGCCGAAGCAATGACACTTCAGTGATGCTGGATATGAATACTTCCTTGCATAGCAACGTTCATGAGAACCATCACAGTTTCCCAAGACTGCCACACATACAAGTAACCTCGCGAGCCTCCTACTCGTTCACTGGTATGAAGAAGAACTAGACGGCTCTATAAGCGTCGTGTCATGTTCGAACATGATGGTGAGATCTGAGGGGAGTTGGCTCTGGCCAACCGGACCCTAGGTTTAATATGTATTATAAGCCTCCCATACCCTTTATGCCTTTTCCCACTCCAAGTCGAAACCTGTCTGCTATCGAACCTTCAACTGGGGTTTTGTCTAGACCATGTTCAATACTGGCTTGCCACTCTTTCATGGCATGACTTTCAGCCTGGCAACTTCCCAGTCCATGATAGCCTCAGAGTCGAAGTAGTTCGACTTACAGGTCTCATCAAGGGAGCCGTTGATCCTGCAACCACTGCTCAGATATGACATACGAAGAACACTGTCCGGCAAGTAGGATAAGTCTTTTGTTCATGGTCTCACAAAGATAGAATCCACGGAGAGTACCTCGGCTCGCCAGACACTTGAGAAGCTTTTGGCTTTCCTGTGTAGACCATGATTTTGCAGCAATGATCGCCACATGTTCCGAGGCGCGCGGCTCGTCAACTCTACGAGCAATGTTCAAGAAACGCCACAGGTAGATTGCCTGGGTCCCCCTTGCCCAGCTTCTACTTTGTCCCCTTTTCCTATACTTTTGATTCCTGTCTAAACGCGCAACACTACGCAGCACCAACCTCCCCGCCCTTCATGCGCTCACAATCCGACAGCCCTCTGCGCAACCCCCGAGACCAGCAGCCCCGCGTTCGTCAGGCTGCTCTTGACGTTACCCTCGACGAACATGAAGGTCGCCGCGACGACCTCGAGCCCGTTCGTCTCGATAAACGCCCGCGTGTCAAACCCCATGCGGTCGACAATGTGCTGCGCGTCGCCGCCGAGCGCGCCTGCGTCACCCTCGTACTCCCTGCGCAGCGTCGCGGCGTCCAACGCCGCCGGCGTGGTGGCGGCGGACGAGTTGACGTGCCGGAGCAAGAGAAACGTGTACCGGGATGGGCGGGCGCCGACGCCGATCAAATGCGCGGCCAGGGGCGCGGGGCCGACGTACGGGGATACGGCGACGGCGCCGTCTGCGTCGTCGACGAGGACGTCGCCCGCGTGGTTGAGCGTCGCATTGGCGACGAGCCAGTGCCGGACCTGGCCGAAGGTGCCGTCGTTGTAGCGCGTGAGGTCCGGGTCGACCATGAGCAGGATGTATTCACCTCGGGATGCGTCGTCTGGCTGGTAAAGGGGCGAGACAAGAAGATTCTCAGCAAAGGAGTCTTTGATAGCGGGCTGCTTGGAGACTCGTGGGGTTCTACTTACTTTGAAATTTGTGGTCACTTTGGGCTGCTCTTGGACTCGGTCTCTATGGAGCCTCTCTGCCGGGGTACGGAGGCTGACGGTAGGCCAGTGCACGCCGAGGTTGTACGGGATCTTCGTCCCTGCGGGGAGAACATCTGGGATGACGTTGTGCTCTTGGAAGGTCTTCGTAACGTCAGTCATGTTGGGTGGTCGAATATCGATATTGAGGACCAACAAATATAATAGGGCTAGTAGGTAAGAGATAAAGTTTAGATTCAGCTTGAAGGAAGGCATTGACAGTTATAACCAGGGGGATCACCGAGTGGTTGATCACCAAAGTCGTGAGGGAACCATGATGATACGATGACGCTTCCATTCCATTACACTGAGACCGACCACAGATGGTGGCACACCAGTGCGGGTAACACATTTTCCTCCGAGTGAAGATGCCATGAGAACATTGCAAAGGAGACATTGTGATTGCCTACCTCATCTCTGTGACAGACATGTTGAAATCTTCCCTGCCAAACTTTCCTTATATAGGGTGGCATACACACACGCGCGTACGATTCTTAGCAGGGCATTACCTGAACCATGGACCCAGCCATGCCATGCATACCAATAAAACCATCTGAGGCTACCGTCTTTCACTTTCCTCTCATCTGAATACCCAGGCCATGGTTTAACAGCTGAAGTTGAGGAAAGATTATGACACTCCAGCGCGTCTAGCATACGAGGGTGGGAATATATCCCTTTTTGGTGCAAGACAGGACCCCCGCCATTTCAACATCACCCGACGGCTTCTCGGGTTTGGCTGTGGCTTCGACCGGCCGCTTTCCGGACGCAACTCCGGTCACGCCTGGTCTCTGGTAATCGGCGATATTGCGTCGAAGGATCGGGCCTTGCAGAACGGACATGCCAAGAGAGGAAGGTCGTCAGCCGCAGCATCGCGCCCTCATTGATCAAATTCGGGGACCCCCCCCCCCCCCTTCCCGCCACCATGCATGCATAAGGAAGCCCGAATCCTTCTGAATCCTTCTAGATTGCAGGAGGGTACCGTACTTGAACGACGAACCCCCCCTACCGTGCAGAAAGCTCATCTCACTTTTTCTTTTTGCACTTTCTGTCCCGCAATCTCCTGTCTACGGAACGGAGATCTTTGATTATTGTAGAAGTCTTGAACCAAGCGGGGGGGAGTTTACGATGGATCGTGGAGAATCATCGCCAACACGGGCTGACACCTGGTCGAAGCACGCCATCGAGGGTTCCGACAACGACCTACATGACGACCCCGAACACCTATCCCACGACGGCCTGGATGAGGCCTCGTCGACTAGATCCCTCTTGGACCCCCACCGCTGCAGACGCACCTCCGCAACGACGACGACGACGGCCTCGTACCTGCTCCTTGCCGCCGTCGCCCTCGTCTCCCTCCTCCTCGGCGCCCTCGCCTCATCAGCCGTCCGCGTCCTCGCGTCTCACGTCCGCACCGCCTCCCCCGCCACCGCCCACCGAAATGACAACACCCTCGCCTCGCCCTTCCACGACCCCGACTCCCCTCCCGTCAGCTTCCTCCACCCAGCCCCTTGCGGCGCGACCCCGTCCGAGGCCCGCGCCGCCGGCTGCCTCTTCGACCTAGTCTCCTTCAACTGGCTGCCGCCCCCGTGCCACGACGCCGAGCTCGCCGCGCAGTTCGAGGCGGAGCTGCGCGCCGCGGGCCAGCTGGCCTGGTACGAGGACGAGCAGCGCACCAGGCCCCTGTCAAGGGACCAGGTCGTGGCGGGGGACCGCTCCGGCGTCTACGTCTCGCCGGGCTACCACCTCCGTCACTGCACGGCCATGTGGAGACGGATGCACCGCGCGCTAATGCAGGGCGGCGGCGGGCTCGGCCGCCTGGACGGGTACATCTGGAGCTACCACCACACAAGACACTGCGAGGAGACGCTGTTGGCGGGCGGGGGGGACGCAACGACACCGGAGCGGACGAGCTGTTCACGACCGAGGTGAGGATCAAGTACCCCGACTGCGGGGTGGTTCTGGAGGGCAATAGGTAGTCTGTAGGAGCCGGGGTGTTCATCAAAGTGTTCAGGAATGGAAAAAGAAAATGCATGCTGAACGTGCGCGATCCGGACGTTTTTTCTTCATGCGTGATCGGGGGTGTCTTCGGGCCTCGCCCCGTCCGTCTGCTCGGAGTCGGTCCAGCTCTGCAGCGACTTTTCCTTCTCAACCCTCCTCTCCTGCCGGCTCTTCAGTCGTTCGCTCCTCGGCCTGTTGTTGTCCCCGCCGTCCCCGCCGCTTCCCGACGACGTCTTCGGCCTGGCGAGCAGCTTCCTCGAGAACGGGACCCGCCAGATATGCGGGCCGACCTCGGTCCCCGTGACGCGGTTCGTCTCGATGACGGTCCTCAGCCTCTTGGCCGCCTCCCAGTTAGACGTAACGGTCGTCAGCCCGGCCCGCCACCCGTACAGGAACGAGCTGACGTTCATCGCGTTCAGCCCGGACCCCTTCCGCCCCGCCGCCAGGGCGACCTCCGGGAGCTCGCCGCGGGCCACCATGCGCCGCGCGTCGTCCCAGGAGACGCTGCCGACGATCTCGATCGGGAGCTGCAGGTCCGCGGGTACGGGATGGGCTGAGAGCTTCTGCAGCGCGGCGATGCGGCGCACGCGGTCCGCCTCGGCGGCTTCGGGCGTACGCGCGTTGCCGCCGCCTACTTCGTCCTTGTCGTCGTCGTCGTCGCTGTGGTGGCCAAAGATGATGCGCGTCCGCGCCTGCTCGGAGTCCGTCCCGATCCCGTACACAATCTTGAAAAACGTGTCGGCCGCCTCCTGCGTGCACACCAGCCTCCGCCCGGCCAGGGCCGGGTACAGCGTGTTCGTCAGTCTCGGCCCGTTCTCCACCTCGTCCGTCGCGTCGATGCAGTGCTGCTTCGACCGCAACAGCGCCGAGCCCGGATCAATGGCCATGTGACTGAAGTCGGACGACAGCGCCATGAAGACGGAGCAGTCGACGTTAAGCGTCGCCGTGAAGTCCTTGAAGTAGTCCATTTGGACGAGGTTGGCGATGGCCTCGTCCAGCGGCGGCGTCGGGTCTGTCAGGATACCGCCACCGCCATCGCCGGGCCCTTTGTTGGCGGTCTCAACGACGAGTTCGACGTCGTCGGTGCCCATCTTGCGCACGAGTCGGAGCAGGTGGTCGACCGCCACATTCTCACCCTCCCTGATACGCGACATGAGGATGCACACCCGGGGCTGGCGGTAGTCTTGGTACGACGTCCGCGCCGCCGAGACCAAGTGCCTCGCGAACTTGGCTACCTCGATGCTGTCCTCCGTCTCATCCCTGAGGATCTCTAGCATCGCGTCGTCGGCACCCTCGTCTGTAAAATCCTCGTCCCAGTCCCATCCAGCGTCGGCCATCTCGTAGCACAGCCTTCGCTCCGTTGTCGTGACGACCTTGATCCATGCGCCGTTGGCGACGAGGTCGATGACGGCGTTTACGACCTTCCCCTGCTTTGTCTTATAGGGCAGTTCCCTTCGCATGCCTGTCAAATCGGAGCAACGCTTGGTGACCTCCCATACCGTCTCGTAGAACTTGTGATTCGACGCGTCGAGCCTCAACCGCATCTTGCTGTCGAGCGTCTCGAGGTCCGCCTGGTCGTTGGCGTCTGCGTTGTACGATTGCACCATCTTCTCCAGGTGCTTCTTTTCGGACACGATGAGCCGTTCGAAAAGACCGAGTCCCGGGACGGCCTGGTTCCACGACAGGGGCTTGTGACCCGACGCCGGGCGTCTCTCGATGGCGGACTTGAGCTGCTCTAGCTCGTCAAGGATGACCGTGATGCGGTTGATGATGAACTGGCATTGCTGTAGCAAAGTGGTGTCGGGATCCGGCCCGAACTGTGGGAAGACTGCCATACCAGGTGCCTTTTCGTGGCAAGCCCTAACTCCGAATGTTGAAGTCTCCAGGCCCGGGGACGAGGGACAACACAGACCCTTTTGTGATTAAATGATTTTCGTACAGACGTTTCTCAATGGATTGCCTCACGTGCACCTCTGCTGGGTGAGACAGAGGGGGGGGTGGAGAGAATGAACAGGCGGCAATGACCCAGATTTTGGGAGAGCAGGGCGGCGACCGAGATTATGGGAGCCTGGGAGTTCAAGGTCGTAAGAGACGGCAATTAAAGGATGAAGGAGCCTCCCAATTTCTTGCTGGCTTAAGCCCACGAGAGAATGCATGTAGTCGGCAAGATATCCGTTGCGTGTCGTCCAAGATGTTGAGAGGCCTTGCACCCTAAGTCATGATTAGCGAGTGATTTTCTTCTATCTTGGCAGATGGTTAAGAGTGTGGCAGGCACTAATTATACCCACCCACCAAGGAAGAAATCGGTGTTCTCGAAGATAACCGCAGCCGCTTCACTTATACACGTGATAAACACAAGAGTACGCATCGTTTGGACGCCCTGGTGCAAGGAAAAACAGCAGTACACCGTGGTAAACCCGCCAAGGCACGTGAGCCAAAAAGCGTCACTTTTCCATACAGGTGGGGCACCAACGCGGGGCCGAGCGCCGGCCTAGGCCATAGCAGGTCCGCGGCCCCAGCGAGTCGCGAGCAGGCCGGTTAATAGAGTCAATACATACCACATGGACAAACAAGCGATTGGCAGCGGACTGACAGTGAAGGCGGAATACCTCAAACTTTGCATTGCGCTTATCCTCCCCGTTGCCGTTGGTTCCCCAGTCATGTTCATTAAGAGCACCGCCTGTCGAACCTCATTATCCAATATGCCATGCACCGCAGCCTACAAAGTCTTTGTACCCGAAATTCATGCGATCCGGCGCTGTCGTCTAACCAAAGGACAGCAAGGTATAATAATGCCTCAATCCAATGCTTCCTCCCGAACAAAGCGTACCAGCTTAGAAAACAGTTCCATCGCTATCGATGAGAATGGGTGGCTCCTTCGTGTTTGGTCGGCTGTACTCGGCCATCTCTCGCCCGCCCTAAATTGTTGTCAGCCAGAGTCTCGCCAAAGTCGCGTGTTGTTTTTGTTCTTTTCAGAGGGAGGAGGTGAGCTTACCTTCCAGCTACCAGCTTCCAGCAGTTGAGCCAGAGTGAGCTCGTTCCCGTTCAACTCATTCTTCAAGTATTTATTGACCTCGACGCAAAGCTTGTCCAGGAAGCCGACCGTCACACCACGCCACTCGACAATCACATCGTCGCTGGGATCGAACATGGGCGCCACCTCCACCGGCTTGACGCCCGCCTTTTTGCAGTAGTCATCGTAGTGTTGAAGACCTCTTTCCGTGTCCTCGGGCCGCAGCGTGAGGACGCCCAGGTCAATGAAGAGACCGCCGTTGCGGTACTCGGGCAGGCCCGTCAGCAACTCGACGCCTGCAAAATGGACCCGGAGTAGGGACTGCATGGGCTGCATCAGGCTGTAGCAGAGCCACTGCGTGAGCTTATGGAACGGCAGGATGGATTCCCACGCGGCGGTCGAGTTCTGCGCGGAAGGCGGGAAGGGAGAGAACTGCGAGGTTGTCGGGCTCTGCGGCGGCTGCGGCATGGACTGGCAAGGCCAGGCGTCGCCAAGGGACACGCCGTTGATCGAGGTTCGGGACGGCGGCCAGATCGGCATGAGACCATTCATGAGAACACTCCACAGTGTAGGGAGAACGACGATCGGCATGGAAGAAGCCTGCGTCGAGGGATGTGACATCAGGTAGTCTGGGCGGCCGGGGTTAGCTTCCGTACTCGATCGACGACTGTGAACTGCAAACAAACATACCAACCATGTTGCCCGGCCGGCCATCCTCGCCAAAGTACTCCTTCTTCTCGGTCAATGCATCCGCCAGACGCTGGAGAAGTTGCGTTCTGCCTTCAATTCCAGCCATTTCGTTTCCAGGCTTGGACTGGAGGCCCGCTGCCATCTTCTCGACCGTCAGGTTACGCAATCCCTCCTTATCGACCTGATATTTGTTCTTGCTGTCGCTGGAAAAGATACCCTGGCGAAATCATTAGCAGGTGCATTGGTAGCCAGATGGAAGGCTCTCCATGGACCTACCGTCTTGAACATTTCCAAGCTTGCCACTGCGATTCCTTCTGACCGACGATATACGCGTCCGTTCTCCGAGCTCTTGTAGCTCCACTTTGTGCCCGCGCCGGCATCTAGCAGCACGCTGACGAGGAAAAGATCGATCATGCGGCGGCACTTCTCGGTGTTGTCGACGTCATCGGGAAACGTAGAAAGAAGTTGAGCGATGCGGTCGCGCCCACCGACGCAAAAGTGCTGGTGTCTGCCGTGGCCGGGGATCGTGTTGAAGGGCGCATCGTAGTCTCTCTGGTGGTACATTGTCTGGTGAGTATACTGTGAAAAAGCAAGGAACTCGGACGAGAAACCACACAATGGACGCGGCCACACGGAACGGAGAACAAAATACCTTGATAATCTTGGAGACAAATGATACGACGTTGGGGAACTTGTTCATGTCCACATCGAAGTGCTTCAACTCATTCCGGAGGGCCTTCTCGGTGACGATCTTGCTTCGTTCTCTAACGGATCCCAAGCTTCGGAGGTATCCTGCGGGATCGAGCTGCGGGTCGGGGGGACGCGGCAGGTCAACCTTGGGTAAGGAAACGGGCGACAAGGGCGTCATAGGCGTGCCGGGGACGGAACTGTTTCCTGACATTCTGTTTACGATGGCACTGCGCGGTGGTGGTGATCTGATGCTGGATGTACCTGAGTTGATGCTGGCGTTTGACGTCTTGATGGTTGGCTTGCTCGAGGCTTTTGGCTTGCGGGAGAACAGGCCCATTTTGGGTAAATGGGGGCGGTCGCCGGCGGCGGAGGGGCTCGACAGATAGCGGTTTGTGGAGTCGTGTGGAGGGGTTCAAGCGGTGCTGAGCTGGCCTGGAGTTACTCGCCCGAATGAATGCGAAGCTTCCGAGTGGTCAGCTGGGGCGGTTGGTAGGGTGGTAGGCTGTAACACAGGTTGTGTTACTGGCGGCGGTCACCGAGGCCGGGGGGCTCCGAGCGTGAGGGGAAGATGGCAGGCGGGCTCCTAGCTTCACTCCGCGACGAAGCCGAGACGAGGAGCTCTGAGACGGATGGTAAGACGCAGCAAGCAGCAGGGAGGAAAGGGGGAGAGGACCGGAAGATAAGAAGTCGATGTCCTCTCAGGAAAGCTGAATAGAAGCGGCAATTTGGCTGCACCCGCGGAGAACAACTACAGTCAGACAATGACTGGGCTGGAGCAGCAAGCGAGCGGTGATAGTAAAGTAGCGGGCACCTGGGGCTGGTTGCACCGCGCAATGACCAGACCCTCTCTCCTCTTTCTTCTAGTGGTGCTGGGGGGGGGGGGGGGGGTCGTGATTGTTCGGGGGGGTCTCTGGGTTCAGGGACCGATTCCCTTATTGGTGTTAGAGTTCCCACCGACGTCGATCTGGATCAGGGATAACCGCTGCAGCGAGACGAACTGCTTTTGGTCTGGTTAGCTCGAAAAATGTCAAGCCACTTTTAGCCATTCCTACTCCACCATGCCGGACACAGACAACGGGGAAGGGGAAAAGACACGCATTCGACCGGAAGAATGCGCAAGTGAGGATCGGGGCTTTTTGAGGATGTGTGAAAGGTATGCAGTGGGGCGGGAGATAATGCAAAGATGTGCTGACAAGGCAAAGTAGAGCAAATTCCCCATGTTGGACAGAAGAGCTGCAGCGGTGCATCTAAATCTGGATTCCCATCTGCCCTTATTTCTGGTGGTTTGTCCGACTGCTGAGGTCGCGCAGTCTCGGTTGTACAGCAGGGCTAGATGGGTGGCCTTGCTGTCCATGACGCAGTGCAGCCATGGTGGCGGTATTGCCGGGACGCCGGAGGGGAATGGAAAGCCATATACATGGCGGGTTTGAAAAGGGTGTACGAGGGGGTGACAGAGGGCGGAGAAGCTGCAGCGGAGAGGGATTTATTCACTTACTGGATTCGTGGTCGTGGAGCTAGCTCCCTTTTCGACTTGAGTCTGGAAACTGGCGGAATATTTCGTGTTCTTGTTGTTGGTCACAAATCGTCAGGAGCGAAGAGGGAAGCGTGCCGGGTCGTCTAGGGAAGAAGGAGTGGCGGGACAGGCGAAGGAGAGGTCTGAGGGCAGATTTCAAGGTCAAAAAGTTGAAATTGGACGGCAAATGTTTGATGTTTGAGGATGGAATCAGAGAGCTGAGAGCTTTGGGTGGTGCAGTGCGGTTGCGGAGGAGGCTTGACAGCAGGAATGCGGACACTGGTAAGCCTGGTAATGACCTTGGCACTGGCCCGACCGGATCTGAACTAGTCAGGCGGGATCTAGGAGGCGTCCAATGTTTGCAGTAGTGGAAATGACGATCAATATGCGGCCACTCTTGATCAGAGCAGGCTGACACAGACATGCGTAGACAGAGGTACGCACGGCAGGGCTGGCCTGGCAAGATGCTGGAGGAAAAAGCAGCAACAGCCGGCGGCACACGATGTCAATGTTTGTTGATCGAGCTCGAACGGCGGGAAAGTGACTTGTCGTGTGAGCTTCGTGTTGGGCCGACGGAGGCTAGCCGCCGTATGGATCGGGGGCTGGGTGGTATTGCAGGTGTCTGATGCCAAGACAATGAATGCAACGAGCGAATTGAGTGCAGCCGGCGAAGCTAAATTGAGGTGCGACCACGTATTCGGAAAGTTGCCGGGTGTGACTGGGGGTGGAAAGGAGAGGGAGAATATTAATGATATCCAAAAGATGCGGAAAGAATGGAGAAAAGTCTCCGTCTCGAGGCTGGACCAGTAACTGAGCTACGAGGCTCGGAATCATGTAAGAAAAAAATATATGCAAAGGGGCAAAGAGGAGAGGGGAGCAACGGTGAAAGCAGCGCAGCGCAAGCCTGGCGTAAAAAAGCTTTGTTGCACGCGGGTCGAAACGAGGCCGAGAACGTGGGGATTGAGATGGATAAGGTAAGGTAAATGAGGTCGGTACCGGGATGATAGAAGATACCGGAAGGAAGGGGTCACGACGTGCGCCGGTGGATCGAAAGCAGAAAGCAGCACAACATAGCACAACAGACAAGAACACAACCCAATAAATGGGACGGGACACTTGGAAGCGACGGGGGATACCGACAGGGACGGCTGACAGAGGAGGAAAGTAGGGACGAAAACGAAAAATAAGGCAAGCAAGGGAGGAGCAGGAGGGGAAGGAGGGAGGTGAATGAGAAGGAGACGACCAAGAGAGAGAGAGAGAGACACCGACTCAGACTCAGGCTAGGAGCCAGCAGCAGCAGCAGGTCAAGGTTGAAAAGCCAGACAACCGAAATACGAACCGAGACATGGAATTAGGATTCCCCTTTGGACAGCCAACCAGTTCCAGTTGTTGGGTAATTGAGTCTAGGTAGGCTGGCAATGGAGATTTTTGTTCGTTACGAGATGAGACGATGGCAATAATATAAAAAGAGGGGCCAGACGACGAGATGTGTAATGCATCGTATCGTATCACATCACGCTACCGAGCTAGGTAGGTAGGTAGGTAGGTAAGAAAAAGGGACGGGATATTATCGACGATATCTACCGTACCTAGGTAGGTACCTATGCGGATGGTGCTGCTGTCCCAATCCGTACCTGTCCGTACCTGCCTCCGGCAATGCCTGCCATACGGTATGCCCCTTTCCTTCCTGACCTTGTATGCCGCCCAGCATCCATCAACAGCTCTCTTTCTCTTCCTCTTTCCCTCTCTTTCCATCGCTCCCCTTCTCTCTCTCTCTCTCTCTCTTTCTCACTGGACCACCGATGCCATGGGCAAACATTGTCTTGCAGATGGGTGGGTGCGAAGTGGACGACGACGTGACAAACCACCCTCCATTCTGAGACATGCTGAGCTCCTCTTGCCAGGGACGGCACGGGAAGGAAGAGGGACAAGAGGGTTCAGTGGAGAAGGCTCGCAGGGAACTCCCGGGCCAACAAACACCGGGGACGTGGTTGGTGTGCATCATGAAGGGGTCCATTTCATACCTACTATGTAGGTACCTAGAGTATATGGCCATGTCCAAGATATCTTGGACATGGGGCGCGCTCAGATATCCACCTTATGATACCTATTGCGCGTGTTTACCCCATAAGTACCTACCTTGGTAACAATCAGGTAGCCGAGAAACGGTTTGATTAAAGCGACTATGCTGTGCCATGCCGTGCCGTCTGATATCCATCTGCAAGCGTCTGCACGCAACTCATGTACCTTGACTACCTAGGTAGGTAGGTAGGTAGTAGGTAGATACCTATGTACATATGTATTTTACTTTCACCTAGGTACTCTGTGTGCGTGTTCATTGGAAGGTGGGAAGGTAGGTACCTAGCTAGATAGTCAAGTAGGTACTCAGCTGCCTGGACATCGGACGGTCTCGCCATGAGCCGCGGCGGTGGGCGGAAAGGAAGGAGGGTCGTGATCCTTGTCTTGTCCCCCGTCTGTGGTCTAAGCTTTGCAATCGCACCTGTAACTGCGGCATGTATCTCGCGATGGCAGGTACGACCGTCCATTTACCGTTCGTACCTTCTTCTGTAGATTTCTGGTAGAACAGTTTTTTTTTTCTTCTTCTTTTCTTCTTTTTCTCGTCCACACGTCGGTTGCGAACTCCTGGTCGTAGCTCTGTCTCCCCCTTACCGTATCTTTCTTTGTTGCAACCGGTGAGCATCAATCATCATCAACAAACACCACCATGCGGATACTCCGTACACTACTGGTCTGAGCACTCTAACCAACACCACCACGACTGCAACCTCGCTGATGATCCGACCCACTGCCGCAGCCGCAAATCACCAACTGATTCAAGTCTCCCTCCACCCAGCCCGCTGCCACCAGGGGAGGGGCTCATCCCGGAATCGCTCCCCGTAGGCCATGGCATGCCACCCCCATTTTGACATTATCCATCGGTCGCGCTTCTCCCTAAACAATGACAACGCCATCATCCACAATGTGCCGGGCTCGACCCTCTTCTCGAATAAGTCAGCATTGCGTGCTTGCATTGCCCACCTCTACACATGACCTACAGTACCATCCATCTATGATAGTGTACGTGCGGTTGGACCTTTGGTCGTTGGCTTGGACCATTGCCGGTCTCCTCCTCCTCCTCCTCCTTTGTCTTTTGCCTGTCGCGGCAACAGACAAGCCAACAGAAGATCCCATGGAAAAATCCGGATACAGAAAAAGTATCCATCGCCGCAGACGCCACATCCACAATGTACCTGTGCCGACGACATGCAGTCGCGCCGCTCACCCGACCCGACCCTCTCAGATTGTCATTGATTTAGCATCTTCTTCGTCCGACTCTGTCCCTGTTTCGGGCCGTGAAAAGGTCATGACACGGCTGCTCAATGCCGACTTGCAAGGTGCATACACTACAGATCGCAATCTCCACGACCCGTCCAGCGATAATCGCTTCATTTTCCCCGCTGGACCATCCCCATCTCCGGTTCGTGGGAAGACTATCTACATGGAGAAGGTTGCTTGCTGCTCACTTGTAAAGTCGACCGCCTAGTCAGCGACCATCGAGACCAATTCATTCCGCTTGTCCGGCCCTGCAGCCAAACATAATGGGTATGGATACAGTACAAGAGATGATTACAGACCACCGATACAGATTCATCCTTACACCTTGCAGGCTGACAAACACGACAGCACAAGCATCAGCAGGGATGCCCCCCACCCCCCGAGAGCCCCGAGGCCCCAAAGGGGCAAGCGGAAGCTCGAATCTTCTGCCAGGTGCCAATCTCTGGGAACCGAAAGACTGGAAGAATGGAAATGGATTAACGGTACCGGGGACCTGGGCTCTGCTCTTTCGCATGGGGGGTGGCAGGTCTGTGTTGCAGTGCAGCCAAAGCCTGCAAGGTACGGGCAATGGCACCGACGCGGGACCGCATATCGCGCTGCACTGCACTGTTGCCCTCACTGCCTTGAGGTGGTGGGCGACCTTCGACTTCACCGTACGGTACTGCGTTACCGCGCGCTTGCACCACATATTTCCTTATCGATGGATAGATGGATGGCGCCTCGCTTCCGGATGGCAACGCGCCATGGTCCGCTGCAACATCCATCGCCGGAATTGTCCGTGTGTTGTACCGAGCCTATTTGGCTCATCAATGCCATCGTTGTGAGATTTCGAACAACGACGGAAGCGTGCAGGTGGCGGCAGGACAGCAACATCCAAGACTCGGTCCCCACGCCCGCGCCATGCCATACAGCTCAGCTCCCCTTTCGGATCTTGGTTCGACGCCGGCAAATCAGCATGAAAGCGACTTTTTATTTTGTTTTTTATTAACATAATCTTTTACATCCTTTTGCCCTATTTCTTTGATACTCCACCAAGCCAAGCCAAGCCAAGCCAATACTCGTCCACCGACAACGATGAAAGCATGGCCAAATACCGCCTGGGATGCACCTACCAATTGTCCCTCGGAGTATCGGCTCGTGCCATTTTCTTCACCGACCTGCGCGAACCCACCGGCGATGCCCTTCGCCGTCGCCCACCCCCTATCACCGAGCTCTGGCCGAGAAGTGTCCTGTGCGAATCTGGGCTTGAGTACGGAGTACTTTGTGATGTAACCTGAAACCTCTCTAATATCCTCGAATCTAGGATGCCGGGCGGTTGGCTTCATGTGAAAGTTGCTCGACAGTCGACAGGTGGTACTATTGGAACTTTGCGGTTGAACTTTTACCATGCATTCGTTCCCTTTGTGACATGTCCAACAGGCCAAGTCAGGCGTGGCTCTGCTCCCGGCTTTCATGACCACCTAAGACATCCGTACTTCTCTGCTTCCAGGATCGCCTCGGGCCTCTTGCACAACTCCCTGCCCGGTGCGTCTTGGGTCACAAAGAGGCTTGATGGCCGATGGGGATACCGCCCTCTCCAAGCACCATTCCGGCGGATCACCTCTGCCTCGTGTGGTGATGCCACGAGGCAGCCATGCTGTGAGCGCGCCAGGTGTGCTTAGGTGCGCCGTCAACACTATTGAGTCTTGTGAAGAGGTCAGCTCGCGGCTAATCCCGCCACTAGTTAGCCTCCTGGCTCAGATGCCGGCCAATGCTAGATCTATAGGCACCTCTCCAGGGCGATGGGCGTGGGCACGGCGTGACAGACGCCACTATCAGCGAGAGAGGAGCTTGCCGGTCCCGATCGGTTGTTGGCGCTCGACAGTGAACCTCATCCGTTGCTGAATCATGGGTGGCGTAAAGCCCCTCGCTCGTGGCATTTACGCCCCGTCGCTAGGCCATGTCTCAGTGTGGTCCAGAATGAGTACGCCTGGGTAATACCGTCAAACTCCAGAGCGAGGGACCTTGAAGGTTTACCCTCTCCCCATTCCTTCTTTCCTTCTGTCCACGTGGAAGTAGCCAACCGCTGGCTGGGCCCCAAATCACAAACTTCTTTGCCAGTTGGTGCGCAAACAGCGCCATCCAAGGTGCCGGCCGGGGTGGCCTCGCAAAACACAACACTTTGGCTGGAGACCTGACCAAACAAATGTAAACATCTTACCTACAGGTATCGTATCTATAGACGGCAAAAGGCAAAAAGGATGGACGATCAGGGAATCGAACCCTGGACCTACCGCATGCTAAGCGGTCATTATACCACTAAACCAATCGCCCAGCAGATGATCTAGCCCGGACTTGAACCGGAGACCTTCAGTGTGCTCAGCTGAGGGTGAGACCTCGAGCTGTTAGACTGACGTGATAACCAACTACACCACCAGACCATTTGTTGACGAGATACGTCGGGTTGTGGTGCTATCAATGGAGGGGCCAAATTGGTGTGGGCGTGAGAAAAAATTTGCAACCGGAAAGCCGCCAGCGGGGGACCCTTGCGGACGGGTTCGGTGTCGGGGCCGGGGGTGGCCGGTGTGGAGAAGCGCCCCGAGTGGTTGCCATCGTGCAAAGATAGAACAAAAGCGGCAAAGAGGATTACTTGGGTATTATGTCTCCTGTCAACAAGAGTACAAATCGGGAATGAAGTGGTGAAATCGCAATTTGCAAACCATCACGAAACAGTCTGTTTACGTCCCGAATATAGCCGCCCCAGTTCCCACACTTTCGGAGGCGGCCGCATAAAAGCTGTGCTTCTCTCTCTCTCCCCCCCCCCCCCCCCCCCCCCCCCCCTCTCTCTCTCTCTCTCTCTCTCTCTCCCAAGCACATAGTCTTTCGTTAATACCACCCTTACAAAAGCGCCCCCCCCCCCCCCCTCCCTCGTCCTCTCTCCTCCGGCCTTTGAGGTCCGCAGCACTTTCGTGGGGACAGAGGTCCGGTGCTGGCCGCGGGCCGGGAGAGAGTCCGTTATATGGCGGGTATCAGTCGGAGCGGAAGCGGTTTGTTCATGACCTGTTATGGGTGTTTTGCTGTTGGGGGGCGTTTATGGCGAAGGGTTGCTGAGAGGGTTGTGTCTGCTTGCGCACTGCGTGCGATGTTGAGAGCGGAGTGGCCTGGGGAGAGCGAAACCCGGGAAAGTTTGTTCACTGGTCCACGGAAGGCATCAGGTAGAGTTGCGTCGCCTCCCGTTGTGTCCTTCACGAGGATCAAACGTTGGTCCTCTTTAATGCATGCCTTTTTGCGATGTGACTATCCAGTAGGCAACCTCACTCGGTGATTAGGCGTGTGTGTGTGTGTGTGTGTGTAGTTCCCTTCTTCTTCTTCTTCTTCTTCTTCTTCTTCTTCTTCTTCTACTTCTACTTCTACCAGCGTCATGTTCACCCTGCTACGTCCCAGACATAACGAACAACAGGGCCCCTAGAAGCTCAGGCAAGAGTTTGGGGGGATGGGGGGCAGGGCTTATCTCTTTTGAGAGCAGTACCGGTAAGTAGGATGGTGTTGGGCCAACGTAGGTAAGGTAAACTGCTTCCCGGTCTCCAAGCTCCTATCCAGCAGGCAAGCCGCTGCCTGCCCGCACCCTGTCTCGCCCGCCTCTCCCCAAAAGAAAAAAAAAAGGAAAAAGAAAAAGAAAATACATGATCGGCTCCGTAGCACATTCCCTCGGGGACAGTGTAACTATAAATCTCGCGTAAACGTCTCGAACTGCTAGGGTAGTCACATCCTAACATCCTAACGATTATGTTGGATTCATCATAGACATAGTGATTCATTGATTCGGAGAGCGGTTCTCTATTATTCCTGTTGTGCAGTGTCCATATGATACATGAGCTGGTTTTTTTTTCTTGGTTTGCTTTTACACCCGTATGGTACAGTGTCTTTTGCTCCTCTCTCCTCGAGTCGGGAGTCTTTGCCGGTCCCCTGTTTTTCTTCTTCTTCATCTACTTCCATATGTTACAAGGGTGAGCTCTGTCTCTGCACGAAAAAGAGATCGGGTGTTTGTCTGTCTCTGCCTCTCATTTCTTCCGCATCTCGCTCCAGAACTTCTGCCTCTCCTGCTCGCCTCTCCTCTCGGCGTACTTCTTGGCGTGCTGGGCCTCGTCTTTGGCACGGTTCGCCTCCATGTAGTTCCCGGCGCCGCCCTTGGCGTCGTGAACGGTCTGCTTAAGGCTGTTGATGATGCCGCTGATGCTGCCGTCCTGGGCGGAGGTCTTGGCAGCGCCGCGGGGGGGCTGGTACGTCGGGCCAGAGTTGGCGGCGGCCGTGGTGATGGTGGCTGCAGCGGGGGCCGAGAGGGGCATGAGGCCGAAGAATTTGCGGAACCCGGCCATGTTGAAGAGCCAGTTCTGAAAGACGCCGACGGCACCGGCGACGAAAAAGTACCACTGGACGCCGGCGGGGAGGAAGGCGGTGAAGATAACGGAGATGGGGCCGAGGATGTACATCATCAGCTTCTGTTGGGCCTTGGCCTGTGGCGTGGCGTAACGGGAGCCGAGCTGGGGGGAAGGGGATTGTACGATTAGCGATACGACTACGAAGAAGGGGAGGGGAAGGGGGTTAAGTGTAACACACCTTGACCATGGCGAACATGGCTATCGGACCGGCGATGGGGAGGAGGAAGAGGGGGTCAGCCACGGTCAAGTCAGAGAACCAGAGAAAGCCGCCCGTCTCCATTCCGGGGACGGGGATGGCGGCGGCGCCGTTCAGAACGCGGAACATGCCGTATCCGAAGGGGATCTGGAGGAGACCCCAGAGGCCGTTGAGAGGGTTCACACCGGCGTTCTTGTTCATGACGGACAGGTCCCGGCGCAGCTCGGTCATGGCGGCCGAGTCGCCGCGGGACATGGCCTCCTGCAGGCCCTTGCGGACCTCCTCGTACTTGGGGTCCTGATGCAGCTTCTGCATGCGGGCCGATGTGTCCTGGGCTCTGAGGAGGGGCTTGAACATGACGAGGCGCAGGAGGATGCCGGTGGCGGCGATGGAGGCCCACCAGGGCAGGCCCGAGTAGACGTGGATGTGCTCAAAGACCCACTGCATGACGCTCGAGGGGCCCCAGCCGAAGTCGAGGCCGAGGGTCTTGAGGAAGCCGATCTGTTCGGGGAGGTCGAGGAGGGCGGCGGCGTCGAGCTCAGGGATGGAGCTCGAGGGGGTGACGGCATCGGCGAGGACCGGTTCAGGGACGGGTGCGGAGGCGAAGGCGTCGTCGGTGGCGGCGGCGGCGGATTCCACCGAGGTTTGCGCGGGAGCTGCTGATGTCGGTGTCGTTTCCGCAGGGGCGGGCTCGGGCTTGGAGTACCAGAGGGAGAGGGCTCGTCTCGTCTCGAGGGAGCCGCCGATGGCTATTGTGCCGGCGAGGCCGCTACCCAGTCTGGAGTTGGCGGGCCTCAGGGCGGTCCATGGCGCGCCGCTGCTGCGCAGGGAGGTTCCGAACTGTCGTCCATCGCCGAGCCGTCTGGGCGACCGGGACATCTGACCATTTGAACGTTAGCGTTGTTGGATGCGACCTGTGCCGCGGTGCTCTCAGCCCGGGACCCGGTTGGGGTGGGGATGATGTTTACAGATTGGCTTGAGATGCTGCTGGTTGCCCTCACCGAGGGGAGGGAGCGCAGGACGCCTCTGCTGGGCAGCATGGTGGGCTGGATATGAAGGGGAGGAGAGAGAGAGGGATGGGGGAGGGGGTTTGTCGGGATTGAAGATTGTCTCTCCCCAAAGTCTCGACGACGACGGATGCGCAGGTTGGTTGCTTCGCTGGGAAATTTTTGGGGGGACTACGGACGCGCCGGGGAAATGTCGGGTCACACTGGATGGTTTGGTTTACAGGCCCAAGCTCCGACTACGTGCCGCGGTCGATGGCCAGGGGGGGGTCAAGAGTGAGGGAGGTCAGCATTTGGTCAAGGTATTGACGAATGAAAGCTGATTCAATCTCGGACTAGGGTCGCATTTCGATTTAACTACAGATCGGCAAATACCTTTTGCCGGCGAAGGAGGGAAAAAAAATCGTCTTGTTTGGTTTTGGTTTGCAAAGCTAGCATGCGTATATACGGATTGCGAGCCTTGTGCTCATCACCGTGACCTGGCCCACCCGCGCTCAAGCCCACACTGCCCATCTAGGGGAGTCACTGCGTTTATTACTTCTGTTGATGCCTTCCATCTTCCTCTACAGAGATGTATGCTTTTTTTTTGTCTTGGCTAAGGTGAGCAGGTTCAAGCCAAAGCGGTCCCAGGGTCGCACCCAGCGGCGGCCTCACATCTACGGCATAGCATAGTCTCTTGCTGTCTTGCAGAGACGGCTCACGGTTGCCACGGGTCGAGACACTTCGTCATCGCTGCAGCATTCAGGCCCTTTATTCCCATCCACCTAGTCATTCCAGACTCGTCAGGTCGTCAAGACCGGTGGTGGGCCTTCGCTGCTTGTCTCGAACCTCCAGGCCGGGGCCAATGGGGTGCGCTCGTCTCCGGGACATCGGGAAGACCTATACGGTACCACGTTAAATCAGGTTCGGATCCATGCAGGTCACAGCATCGTGTGCATGTTGACGGAAGCACCCGCACACGCATACGAGCCACTCGCGGGGTATTCCACCCGTACCTTAGTGCCGCCCCATCCTAGCCTGTAAGCAGCCTCGTGTGCAAACAACTCTCCAAATCCGAGCATCATGCCATTGATGAAGGGTAGAAGCAGGTTTATGGCGGCGCCGCGAACCAGGCCCCAAATCGTGGGTGGTTTGTAGAGGATCACCGGTGAGTTCGACGAGGGAGGTGATTCGGTCAGGTCTTCGCCTTGAGAGTACTGCTCGCTGTCGGACCGAATCGTCACGCCGGACTCGGCGAGGGGGTGCAAATCGTCAGAAGCCATCGTCGAGGCTGGCTTGGAGGGGGTGGAAGGATGATGACGGTGGTGAATGGGGAGGTTTGCCGGGGTTGGGAGACTATGTATGTCGACGACCAGGTTTCCCGAAACTCGGCGCAGGAGAGATGCTGGAACAGGGGAGCTTACGGCCTCACCTCGGAAAATCATCACAGCTGCCGCCGCCTGACCTTCTCCCAGGAACAGCTTCAGCCACCGGAGATTAGATAAGCAAGCAGTGGCGCGTCGACCAACCATGGCGGGGGAGAAGGTACGTACCCTCTCGAGACAAGGTTGAGGTGGGACGTAGAAGGTGGTGCCTTCTCACGTCACAGGGAAGGTGCCAGAGAGCAGAGAGGTACCTACTACGCCTATTACGTACGGATACATCAGCAAAGAAGCTCCAACTGACTGACTGACGACCACTAAAGCTGCCTGCCTGCTAATACTTCCCTTTCCATCTTCACCTCCCGCTGTAGTTCCGACTTTGCAGAGCGCGCAATCTTCAAAGGAAACCATACTCGCTACTTTTGCTCCATACGGGACATTTACTCCCTTGTCTTGCCTCACCTCCCATTTCACATTCCAAACCATCTCTTCTATTACCAAACTTCCCGACTTTCAAGGCACCATCACCACCACCACCACCACTACACTTACTTCAACTTCCCTCACAACCTCGTGTGCCGTCATCATGTCGGGCAGCAGCAACAGCGCTTCGCGCAACAACATCCTGCGAGACTTTAAAAACCTAACGGGCATGCCCGAAGCTCGCGTAAGCAACGTGCATCACCTGGATGATTTCACCCTGCTCACCTCCCCACCAAGTGCACAGAGTACCTTGATTCTGCGAACTGGGACATTGGCCTCGCCGCCCAGGCCTACTACGCCGACCACGACTCCGAGGGTGACGTTCAACCCGCTGCCCAGGCTCAGCCCGGTACTCCTGCTCCCGCCGAATATACCGGTCCCCGAACTCTCGATGGCAGACCCGCCCCGGAGTCTGCGGGCGGTGCGAGCAGAGCTAGCACGGCCAAGAAGGCCGCACCCAAGAAGAAGGGCGTTGCGACGCTCAGCTCCATCGGCGGCGGTCACGCACACGACGACGACGATGACGACGATGACGACGACGTCGACGACAGAGGCCGGGGCGATCTCTTCGCCGGAGGAGAGAAGTCTGGATTAGCTGTGCAGGACCCGTCCCAGGAAGGCGGTGGCGCCAAAAAGATCATCAGTGACATTCTCGCCAAGGCGAAGGCGTAAGTAACCAATTCCTACAAGGTCTTGAGAGGCCACAACTGACAACTACCAGCAACGCCTCCCGTCCCGAGGCTGCATCACCAGCCGGCCCTTCGCGCTCCAGTGTCTTCCGAGGAACAGGCAATACCGTTGGTGGCGAAGGAACCGACAGCCGCAGCATCCCCGACCCCAACGCCCCCCAGGAGGGTTCCCAGGGCCCTCCTGGCACAGGCGGCGAGCCTCAGGAGCGCACCTTGCACTTGTGGCAGGATGGTTTTAGTATTGACGACGGCGAGCTTCACCGATTCGATGACCCGGAGAACGCGATGGACCTAAACATGATCCGCGCCGGTAGAGCTCCTCTGCACCTAATGAACGTCCGCTACGATCAGCCAGTCGACGTGAAGCTGCACCAGCACCAGGAGAACTACCGCCCCCTGCCCAAGAAGTACAAGCCCTTCAGCGGAGAGGGACGCCGACTCGGTAGCCCGGTCCCTGGAGAAGGTAGCTCCACCACGGCCGCGCCGCCCTCCGCTGCTTCGGCTGGCATTCAGGCCACTTCTGCGAGCTCGACGGGCCCTCAGCAAGCCATTGACGAGTCCCAGCCAACCCTGACCCTGCGCATCCAGCTGCCCAACGGCACGAGATTGCCTGCGCGTTTTAACACGACGCACACTGTCAATGACGTCTACGAATTCGTGCAGCGGGCGTCGGCCGACACCCGCACTAGGCCGTGGGTACTGGCGACGACCTTCCCGAACAAGGATCACACCGATCGCAGTCTGGTCCTGGGCGAGATGCCCGAGTTCAAGAAGGGTGGTACCGCCGTTGTCAAGTGGGCTTGAGCGGGATCATAAAAAAAAAAAAAAATGGCGGGGAGGGTCGGGCGGCGTTTGGTACTTTGGTCCCGCAGTATGGCCGGGTGGAGTGGCTCCTTGGGTCCAGGCATCGAGGCTATTTGCCTCTGCGTGGCATGTAGACTAGCTTTTGAGGAATAGACATTATTGCAAAGCAACTTGGACGGGTAGTTGCGTGTGAGACCTTTTGATGCATTTCTGCACTGCCATACACTACATAGTAAACCGTACTTGTTCCTGTTTTTGTTGTACAGTTTCAAACTCCCATTAACGCCCTTGGAAATGGTATCATTAATCATCCCTGCCATACGCCACTGCGGCTCGCTGTCGCCCAACAGACGCTTGTCTCCTCCCGACGCAAAATAGATTTTATAACCTTTTCCAGCCCCGCACGCACGCACGTATGCGCCTTGGTCCCCTTCACTCATGTGTGCCCGCCACCCTGAGATATCATGGTGGCCGGCCCGTCAAGGAATTTGAAGTGCTCAATGGCGATCTGGCAGTTGAGCATGGCGGCGTTGAACCTCGCCTCGCCCGGCGGGAGGATGACCATCAGGTACGTGTTGGTGGTGAACTTGAGGATGAAGAGGTTGAACCGCGTACCGGCCTTGTGCTCCATGCGCACGAACTGCTCGGCGTTACGCGGGGTGCCGGTGAAGCGGCTGATGGTCTGCTTGAAGTGCTTCATGATGTTGGACATGCGCTCCAGGCGGTCCTCGGTGGGGTTCCGCTGCCCCTCCTCCGAGGTCCAGGACGAGACGGCGAGGAAGGAGGTGCGCTCGAACAGCAGCAGCTCCTCGGCCTCGATGGCGACGCCCAGGTTGGCCAGGTTCCGCTCGATCGTGGCCAGGTTGGGGACGAGGTCGTGTATGATGCTCGCCCACGCCTTGTACAGGCTCTGGTCCCAGATGCTCGTCGCAAAGGGCGTGATGTCGAAGCCCTGTCCGGCGAGCGCCGCGGAGGAGGGGCTGGCGAGGTCGTCGTCGTCCGGGTGGTGGTGGTGGTGCTGCTGCTGGAGGTAGCCGATGCTGTTGGCGTACTCGGCGGTGCGCTGGCGGACGACGCGGACGCGGTCGTCGTAGACGGACTCGCGGTGGGCGGGGACGACGAGGTCCATCTTGTGGATGAGGACGTAGACCTTGGCGCCGGGGGAGAACTGGAGGAGGGCGGAGATAATGGAGACGTAGGTGGCGAGGTCGCGGTCAATGTCGCGGGACTCGATGTCGAAGACGTAGATGAGCACGCCGACGTTGGAGAAGACGTGGACGCGCTGCTGGGAGAGGTAGTTCTCCATGAAGGCCTCCTGGCCGCCGCAGTCCCAGAGATTGAGCGTGAGGTTGCCGAGGAACTTGACGTGGGAGAGGTCGATGTCGATCGTGGCGCCTCTAGGAGGTGGGTAAGAAGAGGGGAGAATGTGAGCCAACAATGGCAGGAATAATGCATTCAAAGAAAAGATGCGGAGGAACGCTTACAGTCTCCGGGTATCACGGGCAATGTAATTGCTAAAGATGATGCTCCTCATGCTAGACTTTCCCGAGCCACTCTTGCCCATAAGCAGGACCTTCTTTTTCTTGGGCTTCTTGACCTCGGCCGGGGGCGCGTTGCCCGGGCCGTTGTTGAAGGAAGCGTCAGCCATTGCGTGTAGGGGGCTAGCTATCTATCGTGCACTCGTGTTTATCGATGCAGGTCGTCCCGAAGAGGGGCACGTCGGGAGGGAGGAGGAGATCTCGAGGTATTGAAGCTCCGTCGTCGGAGCTTCGGGTCAGACGATGGACGCGTCACCTGGGAAAGTCCTTCGAAGTGATGCTCTCGAACAGGCGAAACGATCAAGGTAGCGACTGGCTCGGCGCGTTCGAAGGGGGGGCGGAGGCGTGATCGATTGATTGGGCGTTGCGGAGAGGCTTTGTGCGAGGTCGAGTGGCCGACGAGATGCTGATCTTGGTCCCCAACCCCGATTTCCGGGAGGCGCATGATGCAGTACGTACCTCGACGAAGCGATTCGATAAGATAAGACTGCTGAGATAATCACCAGCACCCCGCCGTTGGACGTTTCTTTCCCCCCCCCAAAAAGTTCCACATGTTCATCCCATCATCAGTCATCCGCCTACGCAATCGAGACTACGATCGTTCAATGCCACAATGACAACGACCGGCGCCGCTGGCCATGACCATTGACAGAAGCAGCGAGTGCTATGCGTATATTCCGAGCCACTCGGGACAGGCTGTGTCAAAAACTCTTTTCTTGGGCCATGCGTCTTTGAGCGACGGTAAGACCTTGAAGTAGTACGAGCTTGACTTACACACAGACCCAACGTGACAGCTGAGGGAGCCCTAGAGACAGCACATGGGCGAGATTTGATTCAGGAGAGGATGAGATTGTCGTTTCCCTACGCCTTGGCCATTTCCAGGCCAGGCGAGTGCGTCGAACAAAATACGAGCTTTTTCCATCAGTCCATCTTTCGGCTACGACGGCTAGTCAATGCAGACTCGAGCTTGTCCCGTCCTGGCGAAACGCACTTGTTATCCTCTCGGTGCACGTTCGAACATCTGGCAGTCCGGAGCAACGCGGCTCACCTGGAACATATCCCCCGTTGGCAAAGTCGCCCTGGATACGGTTTACGTCGTCGCGACCCCAGCCACCCCAGGGAGTCCAGCCTCCCACATTGCCTACCGCTCAATGGAAGGGATATACCAGCTGCCCAATAGTGAAAGAGTAAGCCCTCAAAGGGACTGCTCTGTTGCCCTGCCGCTGGTTGGGATGTAAGACGTTGTCTTAGCTCGTCCATCCAACGCCCGTGCCTACCCAAACCTCATGCCTCCCTTTGACTAGGGGCCAATGAAGGCGATGCTGTCATCGATTTTGGGTATGCCATCCTACACTCAAGGGTCGATTGATGATACCAGCTAGCGATGGACTAGTGACACCGTGTGTGGTGGAGCTGAGTCGACCCATTCGCCCTCCTGAGTCTCGACGACCAAACGCGTGCTCATCCCTTCCTGGGATACAGGTGAGGCTTTTCACATATTACTGCCCGGCTCCCAACTCATGCCCGCCGATGGTGTATGGAATCTGGGTGTTGTCTCGCCGACTGGGAGACTTGTGAATCTTCAGCCCATAAACTGTCCTCGCGGAGCATAAGATTGCTCTGTTTCCCGGATGATGGAATCGCTTGTCGAGTGGAACTTGATCGAATCCGAGCACCAAGGAGACGGCTCCAGGCCGAAGATGAACACGCAATTCTCGAACCCGCAGCGGGGCTCTCTTCGCCCTCCCGAGCATCCTGCAAAGAGCCGATCACCTGGAATGAGTGCACCCACGCAACGGACAAGAGTCGAAACGCAATATCGTCCGTCACTCCCCAGCAAAAGGCCTCCGGTTTTCACGAGATACACTACACCGGGAGACGCACCCCAGCCGGCTGCTCCCTCGAGGCCGCCTCACCGATCCACTGGCTCGTCTGGACGCGTGTACAGCTCACCGGACCGGACATTCAATCGGTGCCAGAGTCCTGTTATGACCCTGCGCATCCTGTCTCCGAGCAGAGAGAGCGGTAGCCGGGCCGACAATGAGCAGGACAACCAAGAGTGCCGATTGGCGCATGGCTCGGCAGAGAATGCGCCCCCGTCGTCAGGTCTCAGACGGTCCATAAACAGCAAGCTGATCTGCCCCAAGCGTCGAAGGCTGCAGCTGCGAGACTCTATTCTGCTGACGCGCAAAGATTCGGCCGAGTCATCGAATGGCGCTACGTCGACAGATGCGGGTACGCCACGCGAGCCGCCTCCAGCGCCGTTGGGACAGCAACGAGCAGCATCAGAGACGTCGGAGATGAGCAGCATGCCATCAACGCCGTCCAGGTCGAGAATGCCAGATCTGCCGAGGTACGCAGCGGAGGAACGTAAACTGTTGTTGATGTCGCATGCTAATCCCATACTGCCAGGCTCGGACTCCGTCCTCGCGATCACCCACCCAACATCCCGCAGCCGCCGACCCCCCCCGCGCGTTTGCCGCCGAGGGAGCCTAGCTTGGACAGCCGCCAAGTGACGGTGAGGAATTCCGCCAACAGCTCGTGGCCGGTAGCCGAAAAGCCACTAGTGTCTCGGATATGTTCCATGATCCTGGATGAAGAATTCGGCGCCGGTGCCGACCGGTCTTCCACCTCGCTCAAGGTCTGGGAAACGGTGGTTCGGTGTCTAGATGACGTCTCGCAACTCGCACCACCAGCAACCGCTGGCAAGCAAGGCGAGCGGTCCTCCTCAGAGCATCAGGCTCCGGAGTCGGGACTTCCTCTTGGGTCGTACGATACCATGATTTGCAACGCCGGTGTTGCAGGTGTCGCGGATGACAAGGCTAGTGGCGCAAGCCTTGAGGCTAAAGTAGTTGAGCTTAAGGACAAGCCAACACCCGGACATTCAACACTTTTTCAACCCCTAAGCGGCCACAGCCGCTCGCATGCGCTGCCATGTCCATACAGACTCAGGAATCCGACACGGTTTAACGTCACTGACAAGTGGCAATGCGCCACTGGCAAATGGAAGAGCCTCGATGAGTTACAGTATGAGCCACAGCGTGCGTAGGCACTAGAAGGAAACGCTGATACTTTCCAGGGCACATATTGTCAAGGAGCACAAGCATTCGGGCAACGACCAATTATTTCAGTGCCCACGGTGTGAAGAAGGGTTCTCGGAACCCGCTGCTTTCAGGGACCATATGATGTTGCCGAAAGACAAGATGTGCGACCCCAGGTCCGAGGACTCCTCCACGGGCGGCAATGTGGAAGACGGCCTCACGGCTGCCAGGGCCCGAGATCTTTGCGACAAGATCAAGAACGAGACATTAAGGTCCTGGGACGAACTCTGGCGATGGCTGTTCCCAACGGACAAGGTAGCGCCGCGGCCTGGTGAGTTTCCCCGGCGAAGCGAGAGTGACCGGCGGCCCTGCTGACCATACTCAGTAATCCTCCCCGCTGTTGAGCTCCCGCAGGTGGAACAAGAGGTGTTTGCGAGCAGCAGCATGTCGAGTCTCAAGGCCAGCCTGGAGGAGCGTCTCAGGCTCCTGGCGCTGCAGTCGGCCAACGACGACTCGTTCTCGGCGCAGATACCCTTCATAACTGGGTCTTTGGCTCTGGTTGTAGAAGCACATCTTCGCAGCGTGTTTATCGCCTGCCGCAACCAGCCTCCTGGCCCCTCCAGGAAGGTGTCTTCGACAACCACATCAACAAAGGACTCGCCGACGGGGCGACCTCGAACCTTGTCCTTATCATCGACGTCCAGCGCCAGGAGCGTCGACAGGCTGGACCACCGTGGTCTGGCCTTTGGCCTCTACCCAACGCAGAGCACGGCGGCGAGGGATGCATCTCGGGTCCCAATACACCGAAAAAGAGACAACAGCAATGGGAGGAGGCCCGTCAAGTCACTGCGGGCCGCAACGGCACCGGTTTCGACGATGCTCACGGTCCCTTTCCCGCGCATCTCGACGCTGACGGAGCTGTCGGACGGGGGCTCCAACGTGGTCCCGGAAGACTGGTACCAGTCGCCGAAAGGGCTGGCCACGGACGCCGAGTACTCGTCGGGAGTTGACTCGAGCCCGGGCAGCGACGGCAGCTTCCGGGAGTCGACTCCCACGGACATACGCTGCAGCAAGTGCAACATGCGGCCGAGCCTGCGGCCGGACGAGGACATATTCACGGGCGGCAGCGGTATCGGCAGGGGTCGGCAGTCGACGGTGCAAGCGCAGGCGCAGGCGCAGGCGCAGGACCCAACATGCCGGTTCTCGGACTCGGGGATTGGAATCCTGTGCAAGAGCTGCCGGATGCTGGAGGAGCTCATCAACTCGTACTCGCGGACGTCGTCGCCAGGCAAGTCGGCCAAGAGGCGCAGCGGGGTCGGCGGGAAGGGAGCCAGGGAGACAGAGATGAAGGGGCCGGCAGCGGCGGTGGCAGAAGCTGAAACGGAGTTGGAGGCGGAGACGGCGGTGCCGCTGTTCTCTCCGGACTCGTCGGAAACGATTGACGATAGCGAGGAGGAGACGCTGTTCGACATGATCCTCGACCAGGCGACGTACCTGGACGAGGAGGGCAACCGCAAGACGGAGATTGTCACTTCCATGTTTCCCCTTCCGCCGGTCGGGTTCTCCAATTATGAGCGGTTCGAGCAGGACGACAATTTTTTCTGAATTTTCTTTTTTCTTTTTTTTTGGTTTGTTTTGTATTGGGGGAGGGATCAATCACGGCGTGCTGGTGTGGTGTCCATTGGCTGGCGTCCGGGTAAGGGATACCATAACATCCAGGATACCATACCATCCATCGGTTTGAGTCGATGGGGGAGGAGGTTTCTTTGGTTTCTTTTGGAGGATGCTATCATATCATGGTCTCGATTGAAAAAGGGAATATCACTAAACCAGGCGTTGGCGTTGGGGATTTCCATCTTTCTTTCCTTTCTTTCTTTTTTTCTTTGTCTTATTTTTCTTTTGTAATGGATAAACCCATGGCTTTCTCGCGAAATATGCACCATACCAAAGCAGTCAACCCCATTCAGTCATCAACACTTTCACATGGTTCCCCTGCAGTCAGTCGCTTAAGCTCTATTAATCACTTGGGATAGAATAACACGCTCTCATTCCCTCGCACAAGCCCTCAAGATGCAGCGCCGCACTTATCCTGTCTGTCTGATATTCGTGGGCGAAACCTGGCGCTGGATGAGGCCTGCGTCCGGGAACGCAGATAATATGTCCTGCGAGCTGCATCCCCCGCCTTGACAATCTGCACCCGTCGGCCCCGCAGAAGTGGTTTGTGGAGGTATTATGTACCTAAGGTAGTTCCACACTACCTGGTGTAAGTGACATAATGCAAGATCTCTCTCTCTCTCTCTCTCTCTCTCTCACTCTCTCTCTCTCATGACCAACAATCAGCAGCTATACCAAACAGGCCCAGCTCGGGGCAATTGATTTTCAATTTCCAAAGCTGCATGCACTAGGGAGTGGTGACCAACACGGAGACACATGACTTGGCAATCCAGTGAAAGGAGATAATGTGGCTGGTGACAGCGGCCCCTCCCAGAAGATGAGACATCGGATCAGGGAACCAGTGACGTAAAAGGTGAGGTTTGACGCGGTGGATCGGCCGCACACGCCTTCTACGGTAAAGCAGACGTCATTCTTACAGCTTCAAAAAAGCTCACGGCGAAAAGCTCCCTCGGAAGCTGTGCCCAGACTCTCTCCCTCACTCACTCACTCTCAGTCTACTCTCACTCACACTCTCTCTTACTCCCTCTCACCCCCCTCTCACCCCTCCTCACTCTCTCCATTGGTCTCCCTTGGTCCTCCCCCCCCCCCCCCAGTCTCGTCTCGATCCGATCATGTCACTTTTACATACGCCTCTCCCCCAGAGCTTCTGGATCCGGGCAATCCCATCAATAAAACCCCTCTTCCCGCCCTCCCCTTCGCATGGTTCCTCACTACTCCCTCCCATCGCATCACCAACACACACACTCTCCCTCCGAAACCTCCCTCACATATACCATTGAGCCCCATCCAAAAAGCACAATGGGCGACCGAGGAGAAGGTTATAACCCCCGCCTGGGCGTGAACACGAACGAGATCCCGACGGCGCAGCACCTGCCCAACGCGACGTCGGGCGCGGAACAAGACCGGTACGGCGGTTGGTTCGGTGGGCGTGCCGCCGAAAAGGCCGGCGAGAAGATGGACCGAGTCGCCGAGAAGGTCAAGGAGAACATGCCCCGCGGCGCTGGCGCCGAGCAGGACCGCTACGGCGGCTGGTTCGGCGGCAAGGGCGACGAAGCCACCGAGAAGCTTCGCCAGAACTTCCCCCGCGGCTCCGGCGCCGAGCAGGACCGCTACGAGGGCTGGTTCGGCGGCCACGACCTGCCCAAGCTGAGCGACAAGCTGCCGCACGTCTCGGGCGCCGAGCAGGACCGCTACGACCGCTGGTTTGGCGGCGACAAGGGCCCCTCCGGCGCCTGGGTCCGGGACCGCCTGCCCGACGCCTCGGGTGCCGAGCAGGACCGCTACGGCGCCCACTGGGAGGGCGCCGCCGACAAGCTCACCGAAAAGATCAAGGAGAAGTTCTCCGGTGGCGCTGCCGCCCGGGAGGAGCGCGTCGCCGGCTGGTTTGGCGACAAGGCTGACAAGGCCGGTCACAAGCTCGACCAGGCTGGTGACAAGATCAAGGAGAACCTCCCTCGTGTTCCCAGCCAGGAGCGTGTTGCCGGCTGGTTCGGCGGAAAGGCCGACGAGGCCGGCCACAAGATCGACCAGGCTGGTGAAAAGATCAAGGAGAACCTCCCTCGTGTTCCCAGCCAGGAGCGTGTTGCCGGCTGGTTCGGCGGAAAGGCCGACGAGGCCGGCCGCAAGATCGACCACGCCGTCGACAGCATGCCCAGGGCTTCGGGAGCCGAGCAAGACCGCTACGCGTCCCACTTCCAGGACAAGGCCCCGTCGGCAGACCGCATCTACAGCAGACTCCCCAGAGCGTCCGGTGCCGAACAGGACCGGTACGCATCCCACTTCAGCCTCCACCCGAGCAACCCCATCAACACGGCGACGACGACGACGCTCGGTCTTGTCCAGAGCGTCCTCCTCCCCTCCTTCGGCCTCCACGCCGGCCTCAGCACCGTCACGTACGCCGTCGCCCGGTACACCAACCGGGCCGAGGCCAAGGACTGGCTGTGGCCCTCGGGCCAGGTCGCCAACGCCTGGTGGTCGGCCGTCGGCACGCGCGTGGTCTACGACGGCCTCTCCGTCTCGTCCGCCTGGCGCTCGCTCGGCTACACCCAAAAGCTGCTTCTCACCGGCGTTAGCGCCTGGGGCCTGCGCCTCTTCTACCGCATCGTCACCCGCAGCGCGAAGCGCGGCAAGGACGACGCCCGCTACGTCGAGGCCAAGAAGGACCCCCAGTTCTGGGACAAGGCCTTCTTCACCATGTTCCTCCCCGAGGCCGCGCTGCAGGCCCTCATCTCGCTGCCTTTCACCCTGCCCTTCCGCGCGCCCCTCACGAGCGCTGCCGCCTCGCCTTTCACTCACTACCCCGAGACCTTCCACAGCCTGGCCGTCTTCCTCTTCACCACCGGCTTCGCCCTCGAGACCCTCGCCGACACCCAGCTCGAGGACCACTCCCGCAAGAGCCAGCAGCTCAACCGCGAGGGCGTCTGGAGCATCGTCCGCCACCCCAAGTAAGTCTCGTTTCCCCTCCCCCCCTCCCCCCCCTTCAAAACTTAGACCTTTTGAAAGAGTATGCCCGCTAACCAGGACGACCAACCAGCTACCTCGGCGACGCCCTCTGCCACCTCTCCTTCCCCGTCCTCCTCTACAGCGCCGGCATGATGCATCCGCTCGCCGCCCTCGGCCCCGTCTTCAACTACGTCATCCTCCGCTACCTCGCCGGCGACAAGCAGAACGAGGCCAGCCAGGAGGAGCGCTACGCCAAGGAGAACCCGCTCAAGTTCCAGCAGCTGCAGGAGTATAAGCGCGACAAGAACAGTTTCTGGCCCAGCCTCGCCGAGTACGACAACAAGTGGGTGTGGATCGTCGCCGCCGCCGGTGTCGCCGGCGCCGTCGTCGAGAGGGGCTTGCTGGCCTTCTTCCAGGGTTGAAAAGAAGAAAATGGGGATATGATATCGAGTTGTTTAATTAGTTGTAATAACCGCCCGACGATGGCCCGTGCAGAAAAATGAAAGTTCAAACTGTCCAATGTGTTCTGCGTTGATTGATCGATATTGCATCGTCGCTTTATTACTGTATAGGCTTTCCACGGGTCCTGGAATCCCCTGGGCTTTTCCAGCTATATATGTACCAAGAATCAAACTATCAAACTAATCCCGGATGCCAAACATCCTTTCCCCCCTGCTTCTCCATCCGGGCACTTGCCACACACCTCTTACAGCAGCTTCAGGTCGAGCACGACGCTGGGCGTGCCCTCGAAGCCGCTGGGCATGGTGTAGGTGAAGTTCCAGAACTCGAAGTCGCGGATCGGCGAGTCGGTGCCGCCGTTGGAGCCGCCGAACGACAGGGCGTACGACGCGTTGACGTTGCCCGAGACGTTGACGGCGAGGCCCTGGACGTCGGCCCAGCCGGTGACGGTGGGCTTCTTGAGGAAGGTGCCGACGACGAAGGTGAAGATGGAGTCTGCGGTGCCGTTGGGGTAGCTGAGGCTCAGCTTGTTGGGGGCGACCTCGACGGCGAGCTCCATCTCGGTGGGGTAGAGCTGCGAGGCGTGTTAGTCGGGCCAAAAGTCCTGGTCGTCCAAAGGAGAGAAGGAGAACAGGGAAAGGAGGGAGAGGGAGGGGGGAGGAGAAGACCTACCGAGATGAAGGAAATCTCATCGCCGGTGTTCCACTGGATCACGGCCGGGTTGAAGGACGCCTGGTTGATGGACGGCCCGCCGACCACGTTCTCCCGGAAAGACTCGGCGCCGATGGTCAGGTTGTCCGAGAGCCAGGAGGAGATGTTGCGCGGGACGAGGTCGAAAGGGGGGTAGAAGGTCGACGCCTCAAAGGTGCGCTCGCCGGAAAAGGTGGTCAGGTTCGCGACGAGGCCCTCGGGCAGGAGGCTCTCGTGGAACTCGGCGAGGACGGCGAAGACGGGTGCCCAGGCGTAGTCGGCGGAGTGGGACATGACAAAGGGCTTTGGGAGGTTAGTATATTCTTCTATTGTATTCACCCGGAACGACGTCTTCCTGGATGCACAGAGACAAGGGGGGGGTTAAGGCTTCACTCACTTTGGAGATCATGGATGAGTTCTCCTTGCCGATCAGCGTCCAGAGCCAGAGCGCCATCAGACTGACGTAGCGGTTCATGTCGTAGCCATACGCGCGGTCCCAAGGGCCGGCCATGTTCTTCATGCCCGGGTGCCACAGCTTCGAGACGGCTTGCCAGGTGTGAGAGAGCATCTGCGGGCCCTTGACGGCCATGACGGAGTCCTCGGGGAGGTACTTGCACCAGAGGGTCAGACCGAAGAGCGAGACGCCCGTGTAGGTGCCCGAGTTGAACTCGGAGAGTGTGTTGGCGCGGTCAAAGAGGTCGATGATGTCCTGGGCGTAGGCCTCGCCCGACCGCGTCATGTTGGCGTCGCCGAAGCGGCGGCCGGTGTAGCCCGAGACCAAGGCGCGCATGATGGCCTGGGAAGGGGAGGAGAGAGGTTAGCTTTTCCCGGCGGGGAGA